ATCAGGGCGCTGGCCCAACTCCCAGTACTCCCAGAACTCACAGTCTCTTAACCTGGCTTGGAAACAACTATGATGACTGCCAAGCTATAACTTTTTTTTCTATCATAGTAATCTTTTGCTAGTTGAAGTCTCTTTCAGGGCCAGACTGCCCTGCTAAGTTACTGGAAACTGGTTCGCCATTTCCGTTTTGCTTGTCAATAATCGCTACACCTCTCTGATTTTAAAGGAGAATTTGAACTGAGGATTTAATAAAGGGGGTGGCGGAATGTACTGCTATAAATAATAAATTCAAGATGATGAAATAAAATCCTATCTTCTACGCAAATATATATCTTTACTGTAATATTGCAACAACTCTAAGTAGCAGCTTATGAAGATCTATTTTACTAATTTAGTTTTAGCACTGAAAGACTTTTTTTTTTATTCTGATGGATGGTTAAGGGCGAGAGGAGAGATGGGATGTGGTTATTTTATTACCATATTTACTTAGAGAAATTAAGCCCTAGCTCTTAAAAAAAAAAAAAAATAATAATCTGCCGCCGGGTTTGTTTTTTTTTTTCTCTCAGAAACTGTAAAATTATAAATATTCTGAAGCATCATTATCCGCGGATTTTTTTTTACATAATTTCTTTTTAAACTTAAGCACATACATAGACGTAGTAGTTTTCAAATCTCGGCGTCCATTTTGTAATTATCGGCACCACGAGAGCGTTCTTTTCTTCCGACTTGTCTACGGCAACAGTAAATGAATAAATAAACAGAAATATAGAAAAAGATTAAAAAGGAGAGTTTTATAATTTGAACGTAACTAATTATACGCAAGAGGAAGCAATCCCCTAAATGGTTTGGAAATTTTAATTAGAATTAGAATTAAAAAAAAAAGAAGTTTTCTCAGATAAATAGATAAATCCTTTAAAATTACCTTAAAAGTGCTTATGGCTGTTCTTAATGTTCAACATAAAAATGAACGCGTCACGTTGTTTTTCATCTTTCAATGGAAACACGCATCTAAATAAAAGAATAATAATTAGTCGAAAACTAATCGCTCTCTAATTCGTGTCTCAGGATAAAATCAAATCTTAATATTACGGTTTAATTACAATCATCAAAAACCTTCCAAGATAATTTTTCTGCCGACACTTGAGTTTGAACATAGATCGCCAGTCAGCAAACATAAGGCGATCCCATTGTTGAATTAAGTAGACCACGTGACCATAGAGGAAACGCAGAAGTAGGAAATCGCGTGACGTCTAAATGATCTATGTTTCTACTTTATCCTCTATTTCTATACGGACCGCTATTCTCTATTCTATTGACTATACTATTTCTCTATTCAGATCACTATTCAGTCGTTATTTCCGAGCGAGTATTATCGAACAAGGACTATTAGCGCGAGTGCTATTCGAAGGCGTCTGACACCAGTATTGTTCAACGGCGTTACTATAGTTGTATCTACGATTGCAAAGTCTCTACTACAACGAACATTACGAAAGTGACAACGAATATTCGTTGACATTACAAAAATGTCAACTGAGTGTTCGTTGACATGACAAAATCTTGCCAGGATCTATCTTAAACATTTATCAGTTTACCATTCATCCATGAATTGAATATTGCTGCTACATCTAATCTGGTGTTTCTGTTATGTATTTAGAGATTCTTGATGAAATCCAAAGAAGAATCTGCAATGTTATTGGTCTTGATCTGTTTTCAGTCATTTTGAATCGCCGTAAAGTATTTTTCCCTGTACCTTTTCTATAAATATTTTATGGTATTTGTTCTTACACGTTTTCCCTTTTGCTACCAAGAATTTAAGCGCAGTACTAGACTGGCGGCAAGGTCTCATATATTTGACAGTTGAAATGGCTAGACGTAACAGTAAGTTTTACGTTAACAATTTCCACGCTCGCACTTCTCGATTGTAGAAGTTTGTTCCAGTTTTTTGCTTTCTATTCTACTTTGCTCTTAAAATATTAAATGCACTGTCAATCCTTATCTCCCGTTTTCTTAAGTCCTACTTTTTATTGTTTTCTCCTTAATAATGTTTATCTTTTCTCATATTCTCTCACACTCTTGCGTCTTAGTGGTTTTACTGCCTTTATATATATATATATATATATATATATATATATATATATATATATATATATATATATATATATATATGAATAAAATGACAATAGGAAAACTGGTAATTGCTGACGCGTTTCGTATTTTGCTTTGATAAAGTCCACATTGGACGAAACGCGTCAGCAATTACCAGTTTCCCTATTGTCATTTTTTATTCATAAATATTGTCTTCTCTACCGATTAAATCGGAGAAATTTTATATATATATATATATATATATATATATATATATATATGTATATAAATAAAAGAAAGAACAGTAAGATATAAAACGGTGTTCTTTTGAAACATGGTTGAACTGTGTAGCGAAAATAACCATATTTTAAATCAATATATATATTATAATATATATATATATATATATATATTGTCATCCACAGACAAACTGTTTCACTGTATCAGTATGGCTAGACATCCGACTGCCTCTTCCTAGGATGAAACCGGATGCATTGGCGTCAGTCGGTGATTCTACTCGAAAGCCGTTGGCGCACGGCAGGAATTTAGGCGTATTTTTCTCTCTCTCTCTCTCTCTATATATATATATATATATATATATATATATATATATATATATATATATATATATATATATATATATATATATATATATATATATATATATATATATATATATATATATATATATATACCTTTGATATATCTGTATATATCCTGTACATTGTGTGTCTCCGGTTTTTCTCAAAAGTTAAGACTTTTTCTATATATATATTTATATATATATATATATATATATATCCCCTATATATATTATTAATCTATTTATGGGATTTTTTCTACTCATTTCTTAAGATTTGTTTTGATTAAGATTTAAATGAATCCTTGAAAGCAGGCTATTATAGATAATTTTCACGCGAAATTAATCCGATTGTCGGTTCAAATCTGTACTTTACCAACCGTTACTTACACCATTTTCAGATATATTTGAGAATTTTTTTTCAGTTTTAGCACACATGAAATGATATTCGTGCTTGATAGTTAGTTCAAGATGGGGTTATTTTTAGCGGTTTCAGTTCAAACTGCTTAAAAGTCATGAAGTATAGACTTGAAATTTATCAGATACAGTTATCATTTCAATATTATTGTATTCTCGATAAATATTTACAACGCTGAGATTTTAGAAGAATCTGGTACGTACATTTCTGAAACAACGTTTCATTCAGTAGCCATGTGCATGTTCTTGTGTACGTGTTTTTAGGCGTGACTCCTAGGCTATACTCCCGTTGTTAATTCATTAGTAATACAATCCAAATTTCGTGGAACTTAACGCCTAAAACCGGATGTAGTTAAAGGTTTATCGCTATCCCTCTTTTTATTAGTTTACAAAATTTTGGAGATAGTTTAAACTAAATTTAAAAGATTTTTTTTAATTCAAAAAGCTTTTTGTGCTACTTTAAACTTAATATAAATTAAAAACTTTTAAAATCAATAATTATTTTTTAGTTATTTTAAAATTTGAATTTTTAACTATTCCGCCCCCCCCTCTTTTGGACACAAATCCTAATGATGGATATTCAAGCACCATGTAAAGGGCAAATTTTCAATCCCAGGATCATCCTAATTTCAAAAAAGCAATCTATGTCTATGTAGCGCAAGTGTGGCCCGAGTTAGAGGGGTTTCAGACACACAGACGGATAAACAGAATTTCCGGTTTATTTATTTAGATGTTTTTTTTTTTGTTTTTTTTTTAAGCATTACGCCCCGAGCAAGGCGTGAAGCCACTGGGATGCAGGTGGTTGCAGAAGATTAGGAGCGAGAGCAGATAGGAATGATAGAAGAAAGGATGAGGAGAAGGATAGTGGATAGATCAAGGCAACTGGAGATGTCGATTGACATTACATTTGAATAGTTGGAGATTATAGCTCTCAGGGAAACAGTAATTGGGAAGGGTGTTCCACAGGCGAGAGGTGCGAGGTATGAAGCTATTGGAGTAGAAGAGACGGCTACATTTAAAAGTTTCTACAGTGTAAGGGTGGGAACGGGATTCCAGCCTCGTAGGGCGCTTGAATTCATGGAGTCTGGGAACCAGTGAAAGCAGCTCATTGGAGCAATTACCATTAAAATATTTGTAGAAAAGTCAGAGAGAGGCGACAGCGCGTCTGTGAGAGAGTGACTGTAGACGAGATGCCAGATCAGGGCCAATTATATTACATATCCGTCTCTGGATCTTGTCAGGAACTCCGAGGTAAACAGAAGGGGCTCCAGACCATATATGGCAGCAATACTCCATGCAAGGGCGAATGGTTGATTTGTATAGTTGTAGTATCGATTCCGGAGAGAAAAATTTCCTGGCGCGGCACAGAGAGCCAAATGTTTTACTATTTTAGTGCAGAAATACATTGAAAATCAGGAATTAATGAACTGCTAATCTTAGTCTTTCGAACCACTGAAAATTGATTAGGATGCACACCTTGACCATACCAATATGCAAGGAGACACACACGCACATAGATGTATATACATATACGAGAGGGTACTGAAAAGTTTCAGACCTTTCTTTCCGGAAGAAGAGATTTCCCAGCAGATTCTGATGTTTGGTCCTTTGGTAAGATTACGTGAAGTGGGTCGAATCGAGAACTTTTCAACACGCCCCTGTAGACAATCACACGCGTAGGGATACACATGCACGGAGAGACATCGCCATTCGTGTACACATGCACCAACACGTTAAGGGCGTAATGAAAAGATGCTAAAAAAAAGCTACCCGAAGAAAAGGAAAATAAAGAGGGAGGCTAATATAAGTGATCACCGCACCCATTTTGTCGAAGATCAACTTGGGTCTTAATGGAGTTTTCCATTGATCCTGATGTTGGCTGATTCATGACCATGTGCAAGTCGAAAACAGGTAGAGGATGTCGATGGGGGATCTGGTGAGTAAGTCAATCGAGCATAAATAATTTGCTGTTTATACCTGTATCACCAAGCCATTGCCCATCTCCCGGCGGAAATCCTTTCTTAGGTAATTTGACTTTCTTTTTCATTATAGCTTTCACTGAGATTTCTTTCTTTCTTTCCAGCCTTTCTTTCCAGCCTTTCTTTCTTTCTTTCTTTCTTTCTTTCTTTCTTTCTTTCCAGCCTTTCTTTCTTTTCTTTTTCTTTCTTTAATGCACTTTTTCTTTTCTTTTCTTTCTTTCTATTTTCTAGTTTGTGCTTTCTTTGTTTTCTTTCATTGAATCTTTCTTCCATCGAAAATCTCTCTTTTCTGGTACTTCATTTGTAGTCGCTTGTTCCAGCATTCTTTCTTTCTTTCTTTCTTTCTTTTTTTCTTTCTTTCTTTCTTTCTTTCTTTCTTTCTTTCTTTCTTCATAATCTGTTTTAGGATCTTTTTCCTCTCCTTTTCTTTTCCTACTTACTCAATTATTTCTTATTCTTTTGAAACTTTCAATGCAATTTCTTTCTCTCATCCTTTCTATTGTCTGTCTTCAATTCAGTTTTCCCTTTCTTTCTTTTATTTGTGAGTTCATTGCTTCTTTCTTTTGTCGAATCTTTCTTCTGCTAGATATTCCTCTTTTTCTCTCTTGTTCCACCAGCTTTCTTTCTTTCTTTCTTTCTTTCTTTCTTTTTCTTTCTTTCTTTCTTTCTTTCTTTCTATTTTGTTTGTTTACACTCATTTCTTTCTTTCTTTTGTTCTTTTTTCTGTTAATGATTAATTCAAAACGTATTTCTTTACACTCTTTCCTGTTTTCATTTTAGTTTCTTTCTTTCTTTCTTTCTTTCTTTCTTTCTTTCTTTCTTTCTTTCTGTCACAAATTTATTCAAAATGTATTTCACTATAAGAACTCTTTTTACATTTTAATTTTTTCTTTCTTTGTTTCTTCTGATGTGTAGTAATAAAATAATCCCATCCCATCACCCCTATCCCTTGCAACCATCCCTCACAATAAAATAAACGTTTTTCAGTACTAAAATCGAATGAGTCAAATAAAGCTTCATAAGCTACTACTTACAGTTGTTGCTATATAGCATGATGGAAGTTCAAAACTTATTTCTTCACATACTTTCTTTCTTCCTCTCTTTAAATTCTTTTCTTTCTTCTTTCTTTCTTTCTTTCTTTCCAGCCTTTCTTTCTTTCCAGCCTTTTCTTTCTTTCCTCTCTTTAAATTCTTTTTTCTTTCTTTCTTTCTTTCTTTCTTTCTTTCTTTCTTTCTTTCTTTCTTTTCTTTCTTTCTTTCTTTCTTTCTTTCCAGCCTTTCTTTCTTCCTCTCTTTAAATTCTTTCTTTCTTTCTTTCTTTCTTTCTTTCTTTCTTTCTTTCTTTCTTTCTTTCTTTCTTTCCAGCCTTTCTTTCTTTCCAGCCTTTCTTTCTTTCCAGCCTTTCTTTCTTCCTCTCTTTAAATTCTTTCTTTCTTTCTTTCTTTCTTTCTTTCTTTCTTTCTTTCTTTCTTTCTTTCTTTCTTTCTTTCTTTCTTTCCAGCCTTTCTTTCTTCCTCTCTTTAAATTCTTTCTTTCTTTCTTTTCTTTCCAGCCTTTCTTTCTTCCTCTCTTTAAATTCTTTCCTTCTTTTTCTGTCGCAAATTTATTCAAAATTTAATAATCCGCAATAATCAATCTGGCATTTTAATTTCTTTCTTTTTTTATTTATTCTTTTTCTTTTGGAAACTTATACAAAATTTATATCTCTACAATCTTTCTTTCTTTCTATGATGTTTCATTTGTAATAATTTTCGCCTTTTCCTTCTCTTGAATATCTGACTTCTTTGTCTCATCGCTTTACGAATGTTTAATTCGTTTTCTTACTTTCTTTTCTATACAATTTTTCTTTTTGTTTCTAATTTTCTTTCTTTCTCTGCAATTTCTAATCGTCTGATTCTTTTTTCATTAATCTACGCATGTCATGCAGGAGCTTCCGGTCAAACCAAGGTGAACTCAGACTGAATTTGAATACAATTCGTCCTATGTAACAACTTTACCAACCCAAATCCACCCGATTCATCAAACAATCTTAACAAAGAACACTCACCCGAATAATTGTATCGCTAATCATGCACACATATTCTGACAATGGTTATTATCAATACAAATAACACAAAAAAGACAAAATTATCAAGACGACATAAATTGTTCAGGTGAACGAGTGTACTGAAATTAAAAAAAAAATAAAAGACACTTTTTTAATCTCACAATGACATGTGGTATAAGATGTGCTTAAATACTTTAATGTTATCAATGTTTTGAGTGTTGACAGACACACACACACACACACACACACACACATATATATATATATATATATATATATATATATATATATATAGATAGATAGATAGATAGATAGATAGATAATGAACAGGCTGGGATAGATAGATAATTAACAGGCTGAGATAGATATAGATAGATAGATAATGAACAGGCTGAGATAGATAGATAGATAGATAGATAGATAGATAGATAGATAATGAACAGGCTGATATATGGATAGATAGATAGATAATGAACAGGCTGAGATAGATAGATAGATAGATAGATAGATAGATAGATAGATAGATAGATAATGAACAGGCTGAGATATATGGATAGATAGATAGATAATGAACAGGCTGAGATAGATAGATAGATATATAGATAGATAATGAACAGGCTGGGATAGATAGATAGATAGATAGATAGATAGATAGATAGATAGATAGATAGATAGATAGATAATAAACAAGCTGAGATAGATAGAATCTATCCCACTCAGTAAAGCTCTACATTGAGTGGCAATCGGGCCTTGTATTTGGTGAAGTAAATTAAAATAGAGACAAATAAATATATCAGGTGAATTTTAGCATATCCCTCCTTAGGAAAGATAATAATAACTAGCTTAAAAGCCGTCTTATTGGGCGGCATTTAAGCTAACTACTGCGGACGTTTCTTGATTAGGCCTTCGGCTTGTTCAGGAGTTTGCGTGTCCCTAAGTCTTTGCATATTCTTTGCCGTTTGATTTGGGATTTCATTTGCACAGGACTTTCTTTTCCTCGCTGCAGCCTTGGCTTTTTTTTTTAGTCCTCTGTTGGTGGAGATTTTTATTTTGCAAGGCACACTGCTCCCGTATATGATAGGCAACTATAAACTACAGAAGAAGTCAAAATTGATCGCTGCATTTAAGTATTGCATTAATATTTAAGCTTACATTTTAAAAGCTGAACGATAATTCTTCTGCCGCCACTAAATTTAAAGACAATTTGATGTGCGTAGGTCCTTACTTTTCGTACTAACAATTATTTTTATTTCATAAGTGAGTTTCGCTGGATTTCGCAATTAATATCGGATGTTCTCAAATTTATTTCCAAGTTATAAAAATTGTTATCATACAAAAAATTCGTCGCAAAAAATTCACGAAAATATCGCCGAAAACAATCGCAGTAATGAAAACTTGGGAATCCAAAATTTCTGTAACATGAGCTATTGAAAGTTATATCCCTTTAATTAAAAAAGTGTGACAGAGTGACATGCTAACATTCGCATTTATTATATAGATAATTTGTTTTGGTTATGTCACATTTTATTATACAAAAATAGCGTAAACATATTTATCAATATTTAAATCTAACAAATATAGTTCGTAAAACATTCCATCAACTCAGTATCCTATATATATGAATAAATTAATATTTCAGTATTTTACATGTCATTGATTTTATTAAGTTTTCACCATTTTGAGTTTAACGTTACATGCAGCAGTTGGTATTGCTTTCAAGAGAACTTCTTTGCTTATAAAAGTGTCTTCCACGAAATCGGCAGAAAGTAGCCCTACTTTATGTCAAACGAAACTTCATTCCTTTTTAACCTTGTATTAAACAGTGTTAACCAACAACAATATAAAGAACAATTATCAAACCTCATTATTAATGAATCAGAAATATAGACGACCTTAATTCCTGAATCTACTATTCTGGTAACCCCGTGTTGGATAACAAAATGGCCGACAGTTTCACTAAACTTTGCCAAACACACTAAAACTGATACCAATCCATCTACCTTTTTAGAAGAAATTGATATTTTACAGAGACACACAAACTATAAGCACATATATACTGATGGCTTGGACGCCTCAGCATGGTGTAATGGTTAACAGGCTCGCCTCGCTAAAACAGTTATGACTGAATAGTGAGTTCGATCCTCACCGTGTGCTCCACACTTTCGGCCTTGTGCCGGATCTAAGCTACGCTTAGAATATCATTTAAGGGGCACTTCGAGGCGGTGTAATGGTTAGCAAGTTTGTCTTGATAGACCAATTACGACTGAGTAGTGAGTTCGATCCTTACTTTCGGTCTTGTACCACATCTAAGCTACGCTTGGAAAATCACTATATACTGATGGCCCCAAAAAACATTGATAAAGTCGAATGTTCAGCCGTTTTTAATGACATTACAATAAAAAAAACGCCTATCGACGAATCCACTATTTTTACTGGTGAAGCTACAACCTATGACTTACCTTTAGATATCATAGTGATTTTCCAAGCGTAGCTTAGATGTGGCACAAAGCCGAAAGTATGAGGCACCCAGTGAGGATCGAACTCATTACTCAGTCGCAATTGATCTAGCGAGACGAGCTTGTTAACCATTATTTAGACATTATAACAGGCAACGAGTCAGATAACTTCGTAGTTTTCTTAGGTTCACTATCCGTACTTACGTCATTGAGAAACAAAAACACAAAAATCATTTAATAGTTAAATTATTAATCAGGAACTCGTTGGCATTACAAGAAAAAGAAAAAAAAAACTTGTCTTTTGTTGGGCACTTAGCCATATTGGCATCGGCAGAAATAGATAAGCTGACAGGACAGTAAAGAAATCCTCAAAAACGAACAATTTCAAATTTGAAAATACCCTATACAAACTTCAAAACAACTGTAAACTCATACATTCTAGACTTTTGGGGAAAGAAGAAGACATCCCATCAAGAATCAGAATAGTACACACTTCTCTCATTTCTCCTAAAAAGTTAATATCGTTTTGAATGCATATTATGTCAGGAGGCATATACTGTAAAACATATTCTAACAGAATATAGTGACCTTGCCTCCACACATCAACGATTTTATGGCATGAATAGTCTAGAGGACATTTTCAAGAAGATAAAAGTAGAGATTATCTTAACCTATTCTGGGATTATGCTAAGAAATTATTCGAAGATTTTGTTAAGACATACGGAGATTATGTTGAGACATTATTCAGAGATTATATTCAGATATTAAAGATTAGGCTAAGACCTTATTCAGAGATTATACTAATTTATTATTCGAAGATTATGTTAAGCCATTGTTCGGAGATGATGCTAAGATATTGTTCGGATATTGCTATTGAATTATTCGGAGATTATATTAAAACTTTATTCGGAGATTATGTTATGGTATTAAACGGAGATTATATTATGGCATTAATCCGAGATTATGTTAAGACATTATTCAGAGATTATGTTATGCATTAATCAGAGAATATGTTAAGACATTATTCGGAGAGTATGTTAAGACATTAAATAAAGATTATGCTAAGACATTATTCATAAATTATACTAAGTTATTATCCGGAGATTATGTTAATACCTTATTCGGAGATTATGCTCAGTCAGCAGTAGATTCATATCATCCTTGAATACCTTTTCATGAAATTCCCACTGGGATCGATGATTCTGTTTTTGGGCGCCCTTGGCTGAGTAAGGGCTAGGTTGATAACCATTAACGTATCCGAGATACATCTACGCGAAGGCAGAACCCAATATATATGGTGTCTGGGAAGAAGCTGTAATCGGACCAGCTGCTAGTTGTCTCGGACTTTCCGTGCCACTGGAGTTCAGATGTTCTGGCCAAGATAATACTGTTCGTGGTCTACGCATCCGCCATCCCCACTCTAATCTCTTCTGCGCACGTTTCCATATTCCCCTTACATATTAACGCCGACGAAGTGGAAAAGGCTTTGTCGATAACGATGGACAACCCCTGCCTAGCTGTTCTGGTCAACAGCAAAGATCCGACCACTTTTCATATTGCTTACAGTTTAAATGCTAAACATTTTTTAAAACCATTTCCCCCGAAGCAATGTGATAATGCTACTAAAACCCAATGGGTTACTGTGAGTAAAAGAGAATGAGAACACTTTAGGACAAGGAACCGTAAACCCAATCTAAAGCCGGATAAGGCCATTGAAACACGCTGATGACTGAATCACGTTGAGTCTATGAATTAATACATATTTTTAATCATTTCTCTCCAAGCAAGGTGATAATGCTATGAAGATGCAAGAAGTGAAAGAGAATGAGGTTTCAGGAGAAAGGACAATAAAAGTACAGGCTTCAGGAATACAGAAGTGGTCGATTTAATTTTTTGAATATTGTAGGTGAGAGGGAAGCAAGAATTTGGCGGAAGCTTCCACAGGCGAGAAGTGCGAGAATGGAATCTATTTGAATAGAACTTATGGTTGCATCGAGCTAATTCAACAATAAAAACGTGAGAGATAGTTGATAATATAGCAGTACGCTTAAATTCATACAGTCAGGGTATCAAGGAGGAACTCTCATCAGAACGATTACCATTATAAAAAATAAA